GATCGTCATATCTCGACTAGCTGAGTCGATCTAGACATGTGTGTCCGTCCGTCCGTCTGTGCATTATAATTTGTAAACATGATACAGAGAACAGTTATGGACCAATCGTCACGAAATTTTGCATGTAGCATGGGTTCTGGCCAATGAAGACCCCTATTGTTTTTGGAAAAGATACCACATACTTAATTTTTGTCGCTTTTCCTGGTCGCTCCAGAGGCGGCAAATATGGCCCAAACATCGTTATATGGAGAAGGGGATTGGGCCAAAGAATAAGCATGCCTGTTTTGATAAAGATCGGCCAGTATTTAGGGGGTCAAATGGACCCTGACTTTTGTGTGAAAAATTACAATATTTGTATTCTATGACGTATATATTTACGCGTGGAGGTCATAGACCCGAGAAGTTGATAATATATACAAGAGGAATGGTTGACCTTTAAATTTACACCAATTATATTGTGGTAGGTACTCGGATGTGGGAGTTACACTCAAATATTTACAGGTGCTTACGTATTCATATATTATTTAGTAAAACGTTACCACACTAGAGGGCGGAAATATAGCGCTGATCGCTTTGAAATTTTCCATGAGGATCCAGGTATGGCCAAGGACAACGCCTATAATTTTCTGTGATGATCAGATAATAATTTTGGGATGAAGTGGACCGAAAACATAATTCTTTGTGTGTTTTTTTCGAGTCGATCTATAGACCACAATTATAAGCCAAACATCACAACACAACCCACGGTAAAGAGAATCTGGACAAGTAATTAGAAGGACTGTACTGAATATTAGTAGTATTTTTTCACCTCTAGTCGGTCAAGAGGTGTAAATATCGCGAAATATTGCCCAAGTTCAGAATGTATTACCACAGAAAGTTAGATTTTTGTGTAAGTTGTGTAGGGTATCATAAGGTCGGCCCGTCCGACTATACTGCTCCGCTCACTGGTTAGCTATAAAAATATCCGTCCGATTTGTCTTTATATTGTTACGCGTTCCAAAGTTATCATGGCATAATTACAGAAGGTAGTCTCATTTGAGAATACGATGATGACCACCCTTTTTAAATTGGAACTCATCTATAAAGTTTAAATAATATAAAAAATAAATTCTATAAAACTTTATGCATGTTGATTGACATATTTTCAAAAAAATTAAGCAAAATATATTTTTTAAAGCTGAACGTTGTTTATTTATAAGTTTTAGAGGCAGGGAGCTTTAAAATATCTATAAATATGAATTATTTAGACATTTTTGCCACTGAACACATTTCGATGGAAGATATTTTCAATTAAATTTTGAAAGCTGAATACTGTCAAAGGCAATTTTATGAAAAAATTGGAAACATATGGCTGCATAAGACTACCTTGTATAATTATGCCATGCAATGTGGCATTGAAAGATTTGCCAATATTTGAAACTGTCGGATTATTATATATATTTATCATTACGAATTCAAAAATTATGAAGAATCTAAAATGTCGAGGATCTCCTCTACATTTGGCAGCATTGGTCTACAACGCCATCTATTAAATGGGTAAATTTAAATATCGATTATGCAAAATTTAAAACTGATTTGTTTTCCTATAACTTTTGACCTAACGTAAACATTCAAATAAAATCGATGTTATATGAAAGGTAAAAATATTTTTATACCCTTCACCACACTGTGGTACAGGGTATTATGTCTTTGTGCATATGTTTGTAATAGGCAAAAGGAAACGAGATAGACACATGGTTCCTTTTGAGAATATGCATAGAATCACTTTCTGAGTCGATTTACGCATGTCCGTCTGTCCATGTTAAAGCAAAGTACAGGTCGCATTTATGATCCGAATTGGATGAAATTTGGCATAGGTCACTTATTTGGTACAGATTTAGATATAGCTCCCATATAAATTTTTATCCGATTTAATGTTAATGGTGTACCAAAGTCCCCATATATCTTTCGATTTGCACGAAATTTGACATACCATAATGAATTAGATCTAGAATGATGTGTGTCAAGTTTCCTGAAAATCGGTACAGATTTAGATATAGCTTCTATATATATATCTTTCGATTTGCACGAAAGTTGGCATAGTGTACCTAATTAGGTCTAAGTTTCTTGAAAATGAAATAAATTTCAGACTTAGATATAGCTCACATATATATTTTCCTCCGATTTAATGTAAATGGTGACTAAAGACCCAAAATTAGGCCGATTGACACAACATTTTGCACAACGTACTGAAGTTAATATAGATTTGGATAGAGCTCCCATATACATTTTCTCCCGGTTTCAGTAAATGATACAACAAGAACTCATATCGTATATGGCAGATATGCACAAAACATACTGAAATTATTATAACCTAACCTGTGACAAGTTTCGATGAAATCGATTCAGATTTCGATAAACCTTTTATATATATTTTCGTCTGATTTTAAGTAAATAGTGCACCAAACTCCTCATGCTTATCCGACATTTATCCAAATAATCAATGGGTGTCCGATTGATATTTGCTTAAAATAGATGTACGTAATTTTTATCCCATAGTAAGAAGAAACTCTATGTCTAACCAAATGAACAATTTAGTATAGGTTGCAGAATGACATGTTTATGGATACAATTTCATGATAATGGTCCTTCAAAAATGGGACGTCTGTTAGGATTCATCTTTTGAATATAAAAAAAGTGGTGAAGGGTATCATATAGTCGGCCCGTCCGACTTTACTACTTTCCTTACCTTACTGAACCATAAACAAAGGGGTCCGACTAGATGATACCCTTTACCACTAAGGCTATATTCAAGAGATGCATCATTTGCTAAAAATCGGACGAAAATATATATGTGAGCTATATTTAAGTCTGAAGCGATTTCACCAATTTCAATAAGGATCGGCCTTAGGGCAAATAAATGATCTGTGCCAAATTTCATCTCATTTAGATAACAAATGCGACCTGCACTTTGTTTACAATTTAACATGGACAGGCGGACGGACATGCATAAATCGACCCAGAAAGTGATTCTATGCATATTCTCAAAAGGAACCATACAAATTTTCGCCCGGAGACCCTAAATATTCTGTAAGAATTCAACGCCTGAAAAAAAAAGCATTGAAAATCCACTACCCGGAGCCCTAAAATTATTTAAAGTGTCACCCCATTAAATCTTGTTTTTGTTAATACACGCCATGGAACTCTAAATATATTTTTTTAAATCCACGAATAAAATTTAATTTTGAGCCTCTGTTGATCCTGTTTTGTTTTTAAAAGCCGATGGTTTTTGAGATAAACCATTATTTCTTAGTATTGCGGTTAAAAATATTTCAGGCCGAATGTACTCAACACCCGTTTTAAACAGCCATTATTTTATAGGATATAAAATTGATTTTGATTGAATCAATTCCTAACCTTGCAAACAATAGCCCATTGTTAATTGTTTCCAATAAATGTATTTATTAAATCTCATCTTGAACATTATATTTTACATTTAAAATTAATGTAATTTTAAAGATACATTTTAAGATTTTTGCACAGATAAAGATATAATCATCATGTTTGCACATTTACAATAAATTCAAAGATAAAATCCGTCACATTTTAAGTAATATAGCGAAAAATATGCTATTGTCTGACAAAGTTCTTTTGTTTATTGTTCGATAATTATTGAAATATTTTCTCATTGAATTGAAGCGATAAGAAAAAACTAAAATGAATTAGCGTGTCATTTGATTTTTAGGACAATAAAATTATGGGCATATAAATTTGAGTGCAAATGCATTTGAATATTTAGTTCAAAGTCATTTGTTAACGGGGTTAAATATACAAGAGGACCAAACGAAAAACAAAATAATGAAGTTGTCACATCTTTTCATAGTACTTCTTGTTATTTTGTCAATTTTTGCCGGTTCACGATCTCTGGTCTCAGCAACCTATTATAAAAGAAGAGGTGGCGGCGGTGGTGGATATGGACGTGGTGGAGGCTGTGGTGGTGGATGTGGCGGTTGCGGACATGGATAATATGAGAAGGATAAATTAAAGGATTGGATTGATTTTTTTTTTGTAATGAAAATAAAAAAACGAATGTTTGGAAAAAAAGTTGTGAAGATATTTGTGTTTGATTGATATATATAAAGAGCTAAGGCTAAATAAGCGATTTAGCAAAAATCTTAGCCAAGTTGTAATATATTTGTGCAGTGTGTTACATCGACCCAGCCTTCAGAGGCCGAATTCGAATTCTGAGTCTGAACATGAAAATCGGACAAATATAACCGTCTTGGACAGCCGGAAGAGAGAAGAGGCCTACAAGATGATAGAGGAGGGGAGCAAAGATATCGCCAAACTCACAACTAGGAAGAAACAGTTTTCAGGGGCACAAAGGCGAAAGTTGGCCAGAATGAACCGGATGAAGAAAAAGTGCGAGAAGCAGACAGAGGCTCAAAAGGATAAGCGTGACCTTCCCTCCACTTCTGTGGAAGCGGCGAATGGGATAAAGCCTCCGGATGAAAAAAAGCTTAACAAGAAAAAAAGCCTTCCATCGACCGATAATAAGCGAAAGGTGAATCAAATCAACGTCGAAGGAGACTGCCACGACAATCCACTGATTAAGGTAAACGAAGACGGAATCTTCCGCAAAGAAAAGAATCCCCAAAGGACCAACCAGTATATGCGAAAGAGGAAGATGACAGGAACAGATGGTAAGGATCCGCCGTCTTATGCGAAGGTTACGCTATCGAGACGAGCTGTGCTATGCAGTGATCGACGGAAATAGTGCGTCCGGTAAATTGAAACAGGAGACCCATGAGGAGGTGTTTAATGTGGTCATCAACAAGATCATGGAGCACCTACTTGAAAGAGGGGTCTTCTTTGACCTGGATAGCTGTGCTTTCAAAGGAGACTATCTAATGCCAGAAATTGAATCACCAAATAGCATAGAAGCCCTAAGGAAACTAGTGGCAAGCATTGGACGTAAAGATGGAACAAATAAACTGGCGAGAAAAAAAAACATTCCTCAATTACAAAAGGCTACGAGTACAGTCTTCGCCAGATGTTGGGGCAGCGATTTCGACACGGAATGCATGCTCGAGGTCTTCGCCCTGCAGAAAAATGGGAAGTCTTCCAAGGGGAGTAGAACGAGTAATGTATTTTCCTTGTGTTAGGCTTGGACAGGTCTTAAATGGCTGGTCTGGGTAAGACCAAGGGAAAGTCGCATTACGTGTCCAATGCCGTATACTTCAAGATCGGGAAGTCAAGGATTGACGACGGTGAATCCAAAAGTAACAGCGAGTAAAAAACATCCAGCAGCAAAGATGGGGGAGCCGAGGGGAAGATCACGGACTCCCAAGAAAACCGGTTACTGGGGGACAACTGATAGTCATCCCGATTAACCTTCATCGGAGCGAGAAGGTAACGGATGGAAAAAATTAATAAAAGGATAAAATACACATCGGATTAATCCAGGATCCTTCGACAATTAAAAACCAGAAAGGAAAGTAGTAAAGTCGCACTGGGCCGACTATATGATACCCTTCACCACTTTGGGTATATTGTACATATGTATCCTTACAATTGCATATCAATGTTCCCTCGAAGGAACATACTCATGCCTTCATACACGATATTCGGTACGTCGCATTGTTAAAAATTTAATCTCAATCAGATACCCGTTCGAAATAAATATGGAAGCTACATCTGTACCGATTTCAACAAAACGCAATAATGTCATTCAAATCTCAATCGAATTCTGAATCGGTTTTTCCCGAAACATACCATACAGCGTTCTAGACAATTCAAAACGCTATGCCGAATTTCATGCAAATCGAAGGATATATAGGGACTTTGCTGCAACATTTACATAAAATCGGAGGAAAGTACATATGGGAGCTATACCGAAATCTGTACCGATTTTCACGAAACATAGCACACATCATTCTAGGCTTATATCAGTACGATGAGCCCAATGTACATATGGGAGCTATACCTAAATCTGAACCGATTTTCACGAATCATTTTAAGCTTAATTCAGTACGTTGTCTCAAATTTCGTGCAAATCGAAAGATATTTAGGGACTTTGGTGCACTATTTACCTTAAATCGGACAAAATTTTTATATGGGTGCTATATCTAAATCTGAACCGATTTTCAGGAAACCTAGCACACATTATTCTAGGCTTAATTCAGTACGCTGTGCCAAATTTCGTGCAAATCGAAAGATGTTTAGGGACTTTGGTGCATCATTTACCTTAAATCGGACGAAAATATATATAGGGGCTATATCTAAATCTGAACCGAATTTTCTCAATTTCAATAGGGTTCATCCTTGGGCCAAAGAAGTGAGCTGTGCCAAATTTCATCCAATTCGAATAATAATAGCGACTTGTACTTTGTTTATAATTATACCCTACACAACTATGTTGTCAGGGTATTTTAGCTTTGTGCAGCCCCCAAGAGTTTGTAACGCCGCGAAATATTGGTCCTAGACCCACCTTTAAGTATACTGATCGTCATATCTCGACTAGCTGAGTCGATCTAGACATGTGTGCCCGTCCGTCCGTCTGTCCATAATAATTTGTAAACACGATACAGGTCACAGTTATGGACCAATCTTCACGAAATTTAGCATGTAGGATGGGTTCTGGCCAATGACGACCACTATTGTTTTTGGAAAAGATCGGTTAATATTTAGGGGATGAAATGATGAAAAACTTTATTTTTATCGGTTTTTCTGCTTGCCGCAATTGTGGCCCAAACACTGCGAATTTTTGCATGGAGAAGGGGATCGGGCCAAAAAATAAGTTTGATAACGATCGGTCAATAGCGTGTCAAATGGACCCTGACTTTTGTGTAAAAAATTACAAAATTTGTATTCTATGGCATATATATTTACCGCTGAAGGTCCTAGACACGAGAAGTTGATAGTATGTTCAAGAGGAGTGGTTGACCCTTAAATTGATACCAATTATATGGTCGTATGTATTCGGATGTGGTAGTTCCACATAAATATTTAGGGGTACTTACGTACTGAGATATTATTTAGTAACCCATTACCACACTAGAGTGCGGAATTAGAGCGCTGATTGCTTTGAAAATTTCCATGAGATTCCAGTTAGGTTCAAGCACAATGCCTATAATTTTCGGTAATGATCAGATAATAATATTGGGATGAAGAGGACCAAAAACTTAATTTGTTGTGTTTTCTTTTCGAGTTGATCTATAGGCCACAATTGTAAGCCGAACATCTCAACACAACCCACGGTGAAGGGAATATGGACTAGTAATTAGAAGGAATATTAGTAATATTCGGAAAATATGTCAGTCAGTAAGGAAAAGGTGCTGTTGACCTCTAATGGGGCAAGAGGGTGCAAATATCACGATATATTGTCCAGGCTCGGAATAAACTCCAGCAGAAAGTTAGAGTCCCGTGTTAGTTGTGTGGAGTATCGTATGGTCGGCCCCGTACGTCTATACTGTCCTGCTCACTGGTTTAAAATAGACAGGCAGACAGACATACGGACGGATGGACGGACATGCATAAATCGACTTAGATAGTGATTCTATGCATATTCTCAAAAGGAACCATGTGTCTATTTCGTTTCCTTTTGCCTGTTACAAACATATGCACAATGACATAATACCCTATACCACAGTGTGTTGATGGGTATAATAAGGTCTTTGGGTTAAACCGTATAAATTTCCAACTTTTCTATGCAAATACGGGTTTTTGGCCGAGAAGCAGTGTAATATGTCACAAAAATGTATGCTTTCTCTTTTCTCCAGAGTTGTTAACATCGGACGCCACTGTACTGAAGCGGAGAAGTGGTAAAATTTACCTGACATTCGCCCATGTGACATGTTCCGAGAGTTTTTGAATTCTCATACTTTTTTAAATTCCCATTTTGTGCAAAATGGTGTGCTCAATTGCGAGCGAAAGTGCGGCTCGAAAGCATAGCTGTGTTCAATATGTTACGAAATGTGTTCAATAAAAAAAAAAAACATATGTTTCATTGGAATTTGCAATTTGTTTAACAACAAAATTAAGAAAAAACCAGTAAGGAAAGCAGTAAAGTCGGACTGGGCCGACTATATGATACCCTTCACCACTTTGGGTATATTGTACATATGTATCCCCTCCAAGGAACATACGTAAATCTTTCTGCAACCTATGATAACTTGAATTGCATTAGGGCAGATTTAAAGTCGTCTTCATACCATGGGACAAATTTATGAAAAACGGCTTATAGCAAAATTAATACACGCTGTTCGGTCGACAGACTGTTAAAATTTTAATTTCATTCAAACATCCATTCGAAATACATATGGAAGCTATGACAGCATCTACACCAATTTCAACCAAACGCAATAACGTTTTTCAAGTCTCAACTTGATACGTTGTGCAAAAAATCGTGTTAATCGGACAAACATTAGAAGGTTGGTGCACCATTTATGTAAAATCGGACGAATATATATGTATATGTGGGAGCTATATCGAAACCAGAGCCGATTTTCCGAAACTTAGCACACATCATTCTAGACTTAATTCAGTACACTGTGCCAAATTTCATGCAAATCGAAAGGTGTATAGGAACTTTGGTGCACCATTTACATAGAATCGAAAAAAAACTATATATGGGAGCTATATCTAAATCTGAACCGATTTTCTCGAAACTTGGCACACATCACTCTGGACCTAATTCAGTACTCGGACGAACCTATATATGGCAGCTATATCTAAATCTGAACCGATTTTCTCGAAACTTGGCACTCATCATTCTGGACCTAATTCAGTACTCTATGCTAAATTTCGTGCGAATCGAATGATTTATAGGGACTTTGGTGCACCATTTTCCTTAAATCGGACGAATCTATATATGGAAGCTATATCTAAATCTGAACCGATTTTCTCGAAACTTGGCACACATCGTTCTGCACCTAATTTAGTACTCTATGCCAAATTTCATGCAAATCGAAAGATATAGAGGGATTTTGGTACCCAATTTACCTTAAATCGGACGAAAATATATATGGGAGCTATATCTAAATCTGAACCGATTTTTCCCAATTTAATAGGGTTCGTCCTTGGGCCGAATAAGTGACTTGTGCCAAATTTCATCCAAATCGGATCATAAATGCGACCTGTACTTTGTTTACAATTTAACATGGACAGACGGACGGACGGACATGCATAAATCGACTCAGAAAGAGATTCTATGCATATTCTCAAAAGGAACCATGTGTCTATCTCGTTTCCTTTTTGCCTGTTACAAACATATGCACAAAAACATAATACCCTGTACCACAGTGTGGTGAAGGGTATAAATATGCCTGCTGGCTTATTAATTGCCCTGTTTTCTACCAGAAAAATTCTAATGATACTGGAACGTGTTAAAATAAGCATTTATGGATATTTTGAGAGAAGTTGGTCCTTTCATACACAAGGGTACCATTCCCGAAAGCCTGCGGTTAGCAGCTACCTTAAGATTTCTGGCTGTTGGTGGGTTTCAGAGGGAAGTGGCAAATGATTTAAATATAAGTGTTATGAAAGTCCTGGAAGACAAAGCGTGTGCATGCTGTGGACAACTGCAGACCAGGATCCAGCCATCGTGCTTTTATTTGGCATATGAGTGCAGCTAGGCAGCATTAACAAAAGAGGAAATGGTATGCAAAATAGTTGGCTTCTAGGAGACAGTGGTTACGCTTTAGAAACATTTTTGATGACAGCCATAAGCAAGTGGAGCATGGATCTTCTCAAAATCGATGTAATAAAGTGCACACATCTGCAAGAAACATTATTAAAACGACTATTGGAAATCTTAAAAGTAGATTTTTTATAGATTCTATTTTTATTTTGATCATGTGGTGGTTGAGTTGCCAGATTGAACTCAAAAATGTTACGCGTTATTTTTGATAAAAGGAGCCCTTTTTTATTTTCTTTAATTATACTATAAAAACTAATGTAAATACTGTATTTTTAAATAAATATTGTAAAAACACGTTAAATATTACTTCAGCGTTCTTTTTCAAAGTGTACGTGCTGAGAAAAACACGTACGATCTCATTTCGTTTTCAATCCACAAGGCTATATGTGCTCGAATTATATT